AACACTGTGCTATATCCACCGCTTAGCACAAGTCCACTCACTCCTTTCATGCCGCTCTGAGTAGGTAGGTAGTTACGCTATCACCCTCAGTGCTGAGCACCAACTTGGAACATACCTTGGAGGTCCTGCTTTAGTTCACAGCTGGTCCATCTGTGCCATGTCATCTCCTCCAGTTAAAAGAAAACCAAAGAGAGATCAGCAGTTTAGCAGGACCATTGACCACGAAGCAGAGTTTACACAAAGCTGGCAGGCTCAGTTACCTACACATTCATCACAACTATCACCCTTCCTGAAGCACAGAAAGCAAGAAAGTTGGCCAGTTTGCTTAAACTCATCTGCTGCTGCAGCTGCACGCTCACAATACTGCATCTTTTCCTTCTTTAAGATTATGAGGTAACAAAGTAGACACGCAGAGTTCACACACAAATAAAAAAGACTACAGTTCTCAGGAAGCCCTTTATTAAGTCAAGGTATTAAAGGAGGAACTACTGCTATTCACCAGGCATCTCTTCTTCAGGTGGTTCATACTGAGCCAGCTGTGGATTTAAAGAGAGGAGTTTAGTTAGCTGCAACATTTCAGAGACACTTTCTACATTCAGAAACGTAGGAATACATCTGCTCTGGAAGTGCTCCATTTACTTTGGGTATTTTAGTCCATCGCTGATATTTATACAAGTCAGGCAACAAAGTATCCCGGTCCCTCAAAACATCAGCCTGCCACATTGTATAGTCATGGAGTTACAGCAAGGGGGGTTTAAATACACTTCCAAGCATCTAGGTCTTGTTCTTCATTCCTCCCCCTTCCTCATTCTAGGTCTCATTAAGTACTTTTCATCTCAAATAGCAGCTGATGATGATCAGTGCCCTGTAAGCTTTGATTTCACTGAAACGATCACTCACAGCAGCAGAACCCAAACTAACATTTCCTGTCATCATTCCAGCTTTCACTGTGCTTTCTGGAGACTACGGCCAGGGAACTATGCGCCTTTACTTGTGAAGTTATTCCCACACAAATATATGGAGGTGTTTACTTAACCTCAGTTACACTAAAGATAAACTCAAGCTTCAAAACCAGTTTGAGCATTAGGACTGAATCTCAGTCCAGTTTCCTCACTGAAGATTCTTCCCCTCTCCTGCAAATTGTGGAGCAGGTAAAATTAAACAAAGTACATAAAAAAAATTCAAATAGCCCCCTGTTCCTCATGGCAACTCTTACAACAATCCCTCTGCCCCCAGCAAGAACTGATAAAATAGATTTAACCACAGAAGATGGCCAGTGCACAATCCAAAGTCAATTTTCCTTTCCACAAAGGAAACTATTGACTTCCTGCCCCCACCCCATCTAGATAACTGGCATTCTTGACCGATAAATGTTAGGAAAAGCACAGATCTGCACAGACCACCACCACCTATTTGGACACAATTCAAATTACCACTAAATGCACAGTTAAAGGCATGTATTTAGTGCTAGAGGTCTGCTAAACAGTAGTGTTCTCCCCACATTCTGTCCTTGGGGACTTCTACAGCAGGTCACAATGACAGGCAGAAGATGGTAGGGGAAAGAAAGGGAAAACCAAACACAAATACTGGAGAACACAAACAGTAAGAGTTATCATTTGAAGGCTGAAGAATGTGAAAGCACAAATAAACCCATGGTTATGGAAAGAGACTTTCCTGGACCAAGTTTTGACTTTGTTAAAAGATTTCTTTAACCAACGACCCAGGTTACTCTGCTTTCATGTGACTACTTACTATGGCTTGCTTTAAGTCAGCTACACCAAGTGAACTGCTGGTCTATTGCTACTCCCCCTAAAATTCTGCTCTTTGCCATATTTCCTAGTAAGAAATAACAAACGTGGCTGTAAGGACTCACTGTGGGTAACAGGAGGAGAATTACACAGAGACAGCAAGAGGGCACTCCAGATGAGAAAAACAAAGAGGTAATGCCCAACATTCCCTTCTCCCACAACTGAAGTCCCTAAACATAGGGATGTTTACATGCAAGAGCCATCCTCTGCCAACAAATGCATGGAAACCTGTAGCAGCACATAAGCTACTAGCTTAAGGTTCTCAAAGGTCTCCTTCAGTGTTGTTAGGTTTACAGTCAGTGCCCTCTCCCAAGGGGCAGTTGTTTATTCCTCAGAGCCTTTCCAGCCAGCCTGGAGACCCATTACAGAAGGGCTCTGCCTTAGTTAACAATTGAGAGCCAGTGTAGTTGCAGCCAGAGGAACAGCAGGTTGGTTTAGCTGAAAAGTGGAAGTGAGTGTTCCACATGGATACAAGTGCCTCCACCAGTGACACCCTGCCACGTGCAAGTCTGTGCCAGGCCATGCAAACCAACATGGAACATTCCTCCTTCAGTTTGCCTTTTGAAAGCCTTTATGATAGATACATTAGGTTCTTTCTCAAAACATTTGTCTGATATTATGTAGCTCATGCTTCCCACAGCTTAAACACATCCACACAGGACTGAACAAAGACATGGGATTAGCCTTAATACACACTCCCACCAAGTAATAAAATCCCTAGTTTTGCAGTACTGTTCTATGTTAGAGAATATAAGAAGTATCCCATCAAAAATAATCTTTACCACAATGAATTTATCAACATTCCTCAGCCTACACAATGCAACAACACTCATCAGTTGCTCTAATAGAAGACAGACAGTAGAAGTTTTAAAGTACTCTTCTCGTGGTGTGATGTGGAACTACTGAGGGACACCAAGTAGATTTGTACCTTGGCTTTCAGGTTTTTATTTTCTTCCAACACAGCTTCATATTTCTCTTTCATCTCTGCCACTTCCAAGCGAAGTGCCTCTATTTCTGGATTCTCAGGAGCTAAAGCTCCCAGATGATGCTTCAGAAAGCTGATATTTAGATGTTAAGTATTTCTTCAGTTAAATAACATAACCACATTTTAATACTTAGGAAGTTAGTGCTGCAATACCCATGACCAGAATTGCACTAAAACACTGGAAGTTACTACAGTGGTTTTCATCCTACAGGATGAAGTTGCAAAAATAAGAAAGTTTGTCAAGTCCATTAGTATTATTCCTTAAAGAAGGGAAAAAGAAAACAAGACATCAGCATACACAGGACAAATTCTCATGTTTTACTGCACTGGCCTCTTCTTTTCCTCTCTGAAATGGAGAAGTTTTGAAGAGTTAAAAAGGAATACCAAAACCCAAAAGCAATAGCCAAAAAGGGCAGCTGCTTAAAAACAGCAAGAAACCAAAGATGTTATTTTTTTCCCCCTCTTGCATTAATTAAAAAACAAATCAGCAGCCAACTTCAGAAGCCACAGATCCTGTGGTTGCTCAAATCTAATGCTGCAGGTCTAAGACATTCTGTAATGGTCTTATCCTGGGTTCAGCTGTAGCTGTTGTTTTTCTCCTTCTTAGTAGCTGGTGCAGTGCTGTGGTTTTGACTTTAGTCTGAGAACAACGCTGATAACACACCAATAGTTTTTGTTGTTGCTAAGTATTGTTTACTGTGATCAAGGACTTTTCAGTCTCATGCTCTGCCAGTGAGGAGGGGCACGGGAAGCCAGGAGGAAGCAGGGACAAGGCACCTGACCCAAACTGGCCAAAGGGGTATTCCATAGCACAGCACATCATGCCCAGTATATAAACTGGGGGGAGTCACCTGGAAGGCCCAGATCACTGCTCAGACTGGGCTGGGTATCAGTCAGTGGGTGCTGAGCAATCACATTGTGCATCACTTGTGTTCATTGTTTTCTTTTCCTTTTCCCCTTTTAGTTTTATATTCTCTCCCCTTGTTACTTCCCTTCTCATTATTATTGGTGGTAGCAGCAGTGGTTTTGTATTATGCCTTAGTTATTGGACTGCTCTTATCTCAACCCGTGGGATTTACATTCTTTCCATTCTCCTCCTCATCCCTCTGGGAGCAGGGGGGAGGAAGTGGGGGGAAATGAGTGAGCGGCTGTGCTTAAACCACAACAGGTCTCTAACTTATCTTTATAGTTGCTGACACAGTGATAGACACACTTCTCTTGCATCCTGTCAGACTTCCCGTTAGCTTGGAAGAATGCAGTTAGCAGCTACAATGCAGCCAGAAAAGCCACGTTCCCATGTAAGTCTCTAAAGGAGCCTCTCCAGCTCACCTATGGGTCAGAAGCGGTACCGCTGTTTGGTCTGAAGTCTCTATGAACAGTTAGCAGAAGAGAAAAAGGATACTCCAGTGCACTATTTGGTTTCTCTGGCTCTTCATATAAGGCTACCAACACTGCAAATAGAAAATATTCAACAATTGCAACAACTCCATGCAATTCTAAGTTTTTAAGCCATGTACCAACAGGCAGAAGGCACACAAGCTGCAATGCCACATTCACAGCATGTTGTCCTAAGCAGCAAGATTTTCACCTATATACTTTGATATAAATAGATCTGCTGTATAGGAGGGAACAAAGCATCCCACCCAGCA